AAGAAATATCAACAACCTCAGATATGCAGATGATACCACTCTGATGGCAGAAAGTGAGGAGGAATTAAAGAATCTCTTAATGAGAGTGAAAGAGGAGAGCATCAAAAATGGTCTGAAGCTCAACATCAAAAAAACTAAGATCATGGCCACCGGTCCCATCACCAAATAAAAGGGGAAGATATGGAGGCAGTGACAGATTTTACTTTCTTGGGCTCCATGATCACTACTGGTTTTTCCAGTAGTGATGTAAGGACCATAAAGAAGGCTGACCACTGAATAATTTAGGCTTTTGAATTGTGGTTCTGGAGGAGACTCTTGAGAGTCCCCTGGACCGCAAGGAGATCAAACCTATCCATTCTGAAGGAAAAAAAAACGAGTGCTCCCTGGAAAAGACCCTAATGTTGGGAAAGTTTGAAGGCAAGAGGAGAAGAGGACGACAGAGGATGAGATGGCTGGAAAGTGTCATTGAAGCTACCAACATGAATTTGGCCAAACTCTGGGAGGCAGTGGAAGACAGGAGGGCCTGGAGTGCCCTAGTCTATGGGGTCACGAAGAGTCGGACACGACTAAACAACAACAGTTTTTCCCTATCTCTAAGAAGATTGAGTTCCAGAAATGTTGAACCCTGCGGCACAGCCAGCACATGTGACAATATGAATTATAACCATTACAGCCTTTGACTAATTGCGCTATTAATTTGATTCAATCTTACCTGTATCAGGTGCCAACTGAGCATTAATTTAGAATTGTGTCCCCCTGGGTTGGTTTACATTTATTACTATTTATTTTGCTGCGGGACGTGGTGGCGCTGCGGGCTAAACCACAGAAGCCTTTGTGTACTGCAGGGTCAGAAGACCAGCAGTCGTAAGATCGAATCCATGCAACGGAGTGAGCTCCCGTCGCTTTGTCCCAGCTCCTCGCCAACCTAGCAGTTCGAAAGCATATAAATGCAAGTAGATAAATAGGTACCATCTCGGTGGGAAGGTAAACAGCCTTCCGTGTATAGCCGCGCTGGCCATGTGACAACGGAAACAGTCTTTGGACAAACGCTGGCTCTACGTCTTGGAAATGGGGATGAGCACCACCCCCTAGAGTTGAACACGACTGACTAAAATGTCAAGGGGAGCGTTTACCTTTACCTTACCATTTATTTAATAGGAAAACAAACGAAAACAACAACAACAGTAAGCCAGTTCCTAGGCAGCCAGGCACTGAGAAAAAGCCTGCCTAAAGAGAAAGGTTATGTTTACCTTTACCGTACCATTTATTTAATAGGAAAACAAACAACAACAACCGTAAGCCAGTTCCTAGGCAGTCAGTCACTGGGAAAAAGCCTGCCTAAAGAGAAAGGTTATGTCTTAAGAAAGACAGCAAAGAGGGGCCCAGCCTAACCTCCCATGGGAGGGATTTCCACAGCTTTAAACAGTTACTCGTATATGACATTCTCGATGCTGATTTCAAGATCACTGTCCTAAGTCCTTTTAAACCCTCCTTGATACTATATGGTACTAAAGTAAAAATGTTATATAGGTGGAGTGCTAGAGCCATAATGGCAAGGAGGGCTAAATAATCTTACCAATTTGTACAATTCTGAAGAACATCTAAGGCAGCTCTATGTACAGATCAGTGAGATTAGGAGGACTAGGAATTCCCCATCTTAAAACCTTTTATAGCAGCTGTTAATCAAAACATTCAATCTGGATTATTTTGGATAATACATACATGGCTGCCTCTTGAGATAGCCAGCCTAAATGTAGATCAAGTAAGAGGAGGGGTGTTTTCCAGTGGGAACAATCAAAATGGTTTTGAAAACTCTCAGCTTTTTAAAAAAAAAATGACAAATTTGTAATGTGGCTAAAAGGATCAGAAGATTAATAGACATGTGGGCATTAATAGACAAATACGAAGCGCACCAGCTTAGGTGGCTGGACCCATTACCACCCACCCCCAGAACCCACTGGATGACTTACCATGCAGCATGACATGTGTGGCCGGCGGCATCTCCTGTGCCCCAATTTTGGCAGTAGCTCAGCTGCCACCTCCCTGATCAACCAGCCACTCCACAGCTGGTGAGGGAGACTCGTCCTCCCGCCCTCTTGCTGGAGTGGCCAGGGAGGCGGGGCTGTGGCAGCTGGGCTACTGCCGTGATTGGGTCATAAGAAATTATGCCAGCCACCTGTGCCAGTGGGCTTCATATTCGTATACAAATACGAAGCCCCCATATCTAAAGATTAATTCTCTCTCCACTGACCCCCTTTTCTAACCTGCTCTCTCTCTTGACAAGGACGTGTTTGTTCACACAATGGAAAAGTAAAAGATTTTATTGGTTGCATGATCCTTTTATTAATCAAATTCTAGAAACAATGGAATAAATAAAGAATGGGCTAGAAGGAGTAAAAATTTCTTGGTTCCAAATAGCTCAAGGGACACAATTAACAGCTCTACCATCTATCCAAAAACAGGCATCTAGACAAATTCTTCCCTTGAAGCTTTTATAAAATCACTGTTGGCATGGGAAATAGATCTGTGAGGAAGATTAATAATAGGAACTTTTGTTGGAACAGTGGGTTATGTGCAGGTTGGATTAGTTATGTTTTTGGACACGATTGGCGTGATATAGACAACAACGGATGTGTGTGCCGCACAGTGACCAGTGAGTGGACTGGCTGGTTCTGGGGGGTGGTGCCGTGCTTCGTATTCATATCCCCAAGGATATGAATACAAAGTGCCCATGTCTAATCGTAACTGTTTCAAATTTTGGGACCAAGAAAACTGTTTCCTTTTTCCAAGTTTTGACTGGTGCCGTGCTTCTTATTCATATCCCCAAGGATAGGAATACAAAGTGCCCATGTCTAATCATAACTGTTTCAAGTTCTGGGACCAGGAAAACTGTTTCCTTTTTCCAAGTTTTGACTTCAACAAACATGGAAAAAAGAAGTGCTTTCTGCCTACTAAGTTCAGCTTGTTCAATTACATTTTTTTTTCGCCTGCAAATCCAGGTTGAAAAATATTAAATTAGCAGGGCATCTGTTGAGCTTTTAGTGGCCATGGGTAGATTTGAACCTGGGATTTCCCTGGTTCTTCTTGAGCTCTTTAATTGTTGCACTTTGTCTCTGTTGGCCCCACATTGGTTCTGCCTTCCTAATCCAATCAATCCCTTTGCTAACTTGTGCTGCAGGAATTCAACAAGATGGTTCTGCTCACATATACTGAATCATATGATAAAGTAGGCTGAATATGGGGCTAGAAGGCAATTGTTTTACCAAGTTAATTAGGTTACTTAGTCATTTGCCTCATCATTCAGCTTGTGTTACCTGTCTGAATCATTTCAAACTCCTCTTGATGTTTTATAAGATGTTAACTGCTTACTTTGCCTAGTTACATGGATACAGAGCAATATGAAGATGCTGTGAGGGATTACGAAAAGGTTTACCAGACAGAGAAAACAAAAGGTACAAATGGAAAACATGTATTTTCTTTTGATCAGTCTTCCCTACCCCCATGTGCCACATGGTGGCTGATGACAGTCCTTTCATCTGGAGATCACCAGGTTGGGAGTTGCTGGTCTTGACTGTCATTTTCAAAAGACCTTGTGCCTTGTTCCCAGTTACAAGGACTCTTCTGTTAAGTGGTGCTCAGAATCTGAACTTTCATGCTTTGATTTGGAAGATCAAATTTCTGATTTTCTTACCTTGATAGAGAATTCTGATGTGAATTTGTGGACCATTTTGCTTTGATGGATCTTGAAGGGTGTGGTGTGCCTGTTAGTCAAGTTTCTGTGAAATTTCATATAGCTGTCATTCTTCCTTTTTACTGTATGGTAAAGGGCATATGGAGGTGTCTTATGCACCCTCCCTGATAAGAAGGTACATACAATTTCAGCCCCACTGATTCCTGGCTTTTTTCTGACTGATCTCTCCTGTGACTTCTTCATATGTACGTATACTGATTTGTAAAGGCAGTTACATCAAGAGAGCAGTCTCATTTGTAAATCTGGTCTTGTGGGTCATTTTTGGTTATTTTGTGGTGGGGGGCTGCATTCATGATGGTTTCTTTCCTTTCTCTGGCAATAAAAGCTGCTTTTTATTTTCTTTCTCCACTGCTGTATTCTAGAACACAAGCAGCTACTCAAGAATGCACAGATAGAACTTAAGAAAAGCAAGAGAAAAGACTATTACAAGATTCTGGGCGTGGACAAGAATGCCTCTGAAGATGAGATCAAAAAGGCATATAGGAAACGGGCCTTAATGCATCATCCAGGTACACAATGTTTTCTGAGTTCCCATTGTGCTTCAGTGGGCTAACAGTTCCCTTTATCCATAGGTATGGTGATGGGAGGTTGAATCCAGCAATATCTGGAGGGCCACAGATCCCTTGCCTCTTTCTGGATATGATGGCACCCATTAAAGGCCTGTGGGTTATGCCTGGTAAAGTCTCAGAACAAGGAATGGCTGGTTAAGATTTTTCAGTGCCTTGTGTAGCTTTTCCCTCTCCCCATAATAGACAAAAGCTTAAGAGAGAATGTCTGTGTTTTTTTTTTTAGCACAGAACACACCTACCCGGTTCTATAGACTTTTACAACATATTGTTTCTTCTCACTACAATCAGGATGTTTCCTTTTTCTCTCCTCTTTTGTACTTTTCCTGCTCCTTCCCCCATCATGGCAGACCGGCACAGTGGTGCAAGTGCTGAAATCCAAAAGGAGGAAGAAAAAAAATTCAAGGAAGTTGGTGAAGCCTTTACCATCCTCTCAGATCCAAAGAAGAAGGCCCGTTATGACAGTGGGCAGGATCTTGAAGAAGATGGCATGAATATGGGAGGTGAGTATGGAAGAGAGGTTTTACCTTAGTGGCTTCTTTTTCTACAAACGTATATATTTATCATAAGGGCAGGGGAGTGGGAACGGTTTCAGAAGCCTGATAGTATTATGTATTTCCATTAAAGGGGATAGTTCTTTGAGTCTTAGCAGAGCAACTCTGGCTAACATGCTGTCTGGAAACCCGTTTATAAAGCTTGGGGACTGAGCCAAAAGAGAATAGCTGGGAATCAAGACACAGCGGAAATTATTGACACTGTGAAGCGATGAAATAAAAGAGGAGCCATGTGGTCAAAATAAAATAAAATACAAAGGCAATAGGCAATACCTTTATAGACCACTTAAAAATCATTATACAATACATGAGCTTTTGTGAAGCATAACAGCACTTTATTGGTCTGTAACAGTGTGAATACTTAAAAGTACAAAAGTTCATGGCATGATGGGTTTTACCAGGAAAGTTACTCTTAGATGTATGCATCCTTTTTTAAATCCAACATAGTTTGCTGTGTATTTGGTCTGTTAAAAACCACCAAGTTAACAGGAACCCCTTCTCATTTTGTCATGTGTTTTCTTCTTTCTGCACCTCACCCGCCATCAGATTTTGATGCCAATAATATCTTCAAGGCTTTCTTTGGAGGGCCTGGAGGCTTCAGTTTTGAAGGTAAGTAGGACAACCTTGCTGCCATTCATTGAAGAAGAGACATCCTCCTGAAGCTGTTCATTAGAGGGCTGGCAGAGAAAATGTACTGTTCTGTTCTGCCAGTTCCTCTTGAGCTTGTATCTCCACTTCCTTTCGCAGATCAGAAGCCCATTATGTTTACTTCAAGGGAGTTAAATAGAAGAGCCACTTTGTAACTAAAAAAAATCTTTTGCACTAAGGCATCTGAGCATCCAGGTCTTGAGTCCTTTGTAGAGATACTGTAGGTGGAGTCAGCTGTGTGTCCCTGAGTTCTAGGACTTAAGAGTTGAATTATGACTCCTTCCCTTTAATTACATCAATCCTGTTGCCTTCACCATCTAAGAAGCTTTTTTTTTTTTGGCCTTTCACTGATTGGTCAGTCAGAAATGCTATTCCCAGATAGTGATAGAACTGGAGGACTTATATGCTCCCCAGTGCTATGAGACAGTATGGACTTTTCCTGTTGGTAGTTGCAGACTTTTGTGTCCTTTCTTTGATAGTTCTGATTATCAGCAGTTGCTCTGGTGCTCAGTTTTTTGGGGGGGCGAGGGCAGGGTCTTGGCCAAAGGATGGCAATTATAAGGTTGGAATCCATTTCAACACGAGCAAAACATAAAACCCCACTGCTGCAGTAATGTGGGCTCTGCCTCTTGCACAAGCTTTGTCCTCTCAGAGATTCCTGTTGCAGTTTGCTAACTTATACTTGTGCAAGGAGGTCCTGAGTACTCCCATCTACAACCTCCATACAAGTCAAACTTCTTGAATAACTCTTTCCCGAGATGTTTTAAGCTAAACTGCTTGAATAACTCTTGCCTGAGATGTTTGACCAAACAGAACCTTGGGTTAAGTCTTTGCTTCTCTGTTTTTCAGCTTCTGGACCAGGAAATTTCTTCTTCCAGTTTGGCTAAGCTGCAGAAGAGGTTCATCTCATCTACTGAAACCCACACTTTACCTGACCTGCTTTTTTAAATCCCGAGTTACGTTCTCCCTTCATCTCATCTCGCCGTTTCTTAGGGCTGTGATGTTTTCTCCATTGGAGACCTCAGTTTTTTGTGTGTGCTTTAGAGTGTGACAAGAAAACCAGCACGTGGAAAGAAGGGGAAGGGACAGTGAAGGAATAAACTTTTTGTTTGTTTGTTTTATTGTTAACTTTATTAAAGGAGAGAGAAAATCTTTTGATTCCTCCATGATAAGTAATTTCAGGCTCCCATGCTGCTGGGATTTAACTTGGGGAATCCTCATCTTCTGATAATGGCCTGAGACTTTTCTCAAGTGCAGCTGGACACAACATGCCTTCAGTAAGTAGGAGGAAAGCCTATGTAGGTTTTTCTCGTTTTGGTTTCATCACGCTGGCACTGCACCATATTCAGAAAGATATTCAGACACTTGAGAAAGGCAGAGAGATTAAAATCCATGGCATCACTCTGGAGATTCACCTGTGGCATAAGGAGGAATACCTTCATAGCACTGGTTGTAATTTTAAAGATTCTTTCATTTGAGGGACAGTATCTTTTTGTTTCCAGATTCTTGAGTACTTCAGGGAAATGGCAAGGGCTGATTCCAGACACAGATCTCATTTTGATGGCAACCCTCCCCGCAACTCGACTTGTAAAAACTTGCTCCATTGAAAAGTGCATGGTAATAGGTGTGACAGAATCTGTATGTGGTGCTGAAACTGCAGTGGCCATTTCACACATGCAAGCCATCAGTTGATGTCACAGTCACAGTTCATACATGTTCATGCGAATCTACTCATTTAAGTATTGAAACTTGTTCTCCAACATAATGATTGAGATCTCAAGAATACATTTCTGGTTGAGAAAAGAAGTTTCAAGATTGACAAAGAATGTGTTGTGCCTTTGAAAGAAAAAAATAGCATTATTCGGGGGAGAAGGCTTCCATGTCTTACAGCATGTTAAAGTGTTGCTTGTTATCTCCAGGCACAAATCACCAAGAGATGAGTTCATAATATTCTGGGTTCATCTTTGTATTAGCGAAACATCAATTTTCTGAGTTGAATGCCTTGTTTTGAGCTTACCTGATGACTCATTTGGCAAGATGACAAGTTAAAAGTAGTAACAACAAAATTGTTGATTATTGTATTTGCTTTTAGGTTTTTCCTGTGCCTAGTATTAACAAGTACACTGACCACCCCCAAGTACCTACTTCCATTATACCTCTTCATTTGTTGTTCGCTCTCTGATTTTCTTCACAGAAGCAGGACCTCATAAGCAAATGTTTGACTTTGTCTACCATTTCACAGTCTGAGGCATTTTTACATCTGCGTGTAATTTTTATTGTCCTATACACTGGCAGTTTCTTCTGTCATTAAAGCCCTGGATGGCCACCATTATGGTCTTTATCTCAAATCTACTGAGGAAAAGAAGGGTGTCATCATAAGTTTGAACAGCTTTGGGCGCTTTCCTACTCAGAACAAACTGCTAAATGAATCAAACTTGAAATTTTGTTTTTAAATGTTTGTAGTTATCCAGCATAGTTTGAGAGAATGTGAAAAGTTCTGAGCTTTGATAATAATCTGTGAAGTTTTTAGGGACCCATTCTTGTACAACATCTGAAATTCTATTCAGGGAATTTTAATTATTGGTCCAGCACGGCATCATTTTAGGACGTTTGCATTGTGAGCTGGGAGTTTTCTGCTACTTCGACTTCAAGCAGTCCTTTGACTTCTGGCAAACTAAGGAGGAGTTTACAACAGATATTGCCCTTGTTTCCCTCATTCCCCTTCCTAACCTCAGACGGAGGAACTCGAGAGAAGTAGTAATGGTAGATGCAGTCTATAGTGGTATGTCCATGAATTACAGTTTAGGATAAAGGATAGAGGGATTAAGGAAACAAGTTTTAGTACTGAAGGAAAGGAGCCAGGAATTTCTCGTAACAGAAAGATCTGGCGGAACAAATGTCAGCTACCTCTAATTTAGGCCTCCATAGTACAATCATAGTACAATCACTGGTGCAACTAATTTCATGGGCAGACTGGCACTGGTGCAACTAATTTCATGGGCAGACTGTGTCTGTCTAAAAAATTGAATTGGTTGCTGTCAGGTTGTGTACGTTATCCACAAACATTGCTCACAGAGCTGAGTTTTCAGTTACTGGTACAAAGTAGAGCAACAGAACATTTTCATAGTTGCCTTATGTACAAGGAAATTATGCCAGCAGAATATTGTCTTCAGAGGCCTGGTGCTGTCAAAAACATGGAAAAACAATGAGATCCTGTGAATTTCCCTTGTCAAAATGTCTTAGCAGACTGCAATCTGACTTTAGATGTCTAATGAGTTGCAGAATTCCAGTGGATGGCTGCCTTGCTTTCTGACAGGTGTGAATCATCCTAAAGCTATCATAGAATGTTGCTTTCTTCATGTCTCCAGCATTTTAAATTCCTTCTTTTTCCAAAACTAGTAGTAAGAGGTTTCTGAAACTTGATATTGATTGTAAACTTGGAAACTGGTGCCAATTTAAAAGCTGTTTTTAATGTTTTGCCTTTTCATTGTGTGTGTTTCCGATCTGAAAGTCAGTGGCTGTACTTTAAACAGCCTCTCAAGAGCTTCAGTTTTCTTCACATTAGACAGCAGAAATCATACAGCCTGCTTTAAAAATCTGCCACTTCAATGTGGCATTTTCATTTCATTCTTCATTGTTGACATTTACATTTAAAAGTCAACAGAAAGGTATCCTATTGATGGCCCAATGGGTTTATCTAGTTTTATGTCTGAAACCATGTGTTCTATGTTTGGAGAAAGAGGTGGTGGTGGAATCATCAGGTGTAGAATGGACTGTAAAATTTCTGATTGCAGGAGAAATCACATTTTTGAATGCTTGTTATGCAAAACTCCCTGAAAGAAAAGATACAGAAGAGGGACAGAGCTTTTTTTACTGACCTTGGTAGGTTTAGTGCAGTTCTTTAAAAAGAAAGAGAAGCATTTAAGAACAGCACCCCTCACCTGCAGTCTGAAATAGTATCCTTGACTCTACCCTTTATTCTGCCGTATGTGTGAATCAGGCTTCAGTAAGATGATGGGGTGACAGATAAAATACAAGGTATCCCAGGTAGAGAGAGAGGGCAGCTTGCGCCTTAGTTGTGAGCTGCTGACAGAGGGACAAAATATTCTAGGCAAGGTTGCCCTGTTGCATCAAATATTTTACTCTCCCCATTTCTTCCTCTGTACATTGCCTCACCATTTTTCTTGCATGTGTTGTGTCCTCTTTGCTGTACAGGTACATTTACAGGGAATGTCTGAGCAGAGGCAGGTAAGCCACAGTTGAATCCACATGGAGAGAGGCTGTTTAGCTAGATGTATTAAGCATACTGTTTTAACCTCAGTGTGAGGCTCTGCCTTCCTGTTTAAAAGTTTGTTGCATGACATGTTTTAGAGCAGTGACACCCCTCCCCGCCCTCTTCCTTCCTCTCTCCTGGGGATGGCTTCACACCTGGATAAATATAGTGCCCCACTTGAACCCTTTCATCTTTCTAAGAGGGATATCATTAAAGGAGAACAAAAACCAGTGACTATTTGTTAAGCAGGATTCATAACGTGTTTATATGCAGAATTTCAAACCAGACTGAAGCAAAAACCATATGCAATTGATACTAACTTTATTATAAACTGTATATGATGTACAAAAAAAATAAACACTCCAGATCTCATGGGTGACTTTTTTTGCCTTTTTGGATAGATCAGCCATTGAAATTGTATGAAGATGGACTGAATGTGTAAAAAAGTTTTCCACCTTGGCCCAAGAAATCTATGATGGTCAATTTGAGGTTATTTGGGGTGTGTCTAGTATTAACTAACTTTCAGTGGCATTAAAACCAAAGGACCTCAACTGTTAATATATTTTGAAAGAGATTTTGTTAAGTCTTCAGTTGATATGGGGGGAGCGGATATACACAGTTGCTTTTTTAAAATCTAATTTACCATAGAAAAACAGCACCTGGGAAGTGATACATTAAAATGAAACCCAGATTGCACTAAGTATTAAATCCTAGCATTTCCAACCCCAGATAAGCTTCTGCTTTAAGTTGTGTGAATACCACATGCCACAAGCCACAACTGACCCACAGATGTAAAAGAAGACCTCAAGGGAGTAGGCTGTATATGCAGCTCTTTGCAGAGGAACTGTATGGTCAGAAAAAAAATCAGAACTGAAACTACCTGATTACAGTTCTCTCTGCTTCTGCTACAGATGGATTTTAGTAAAACCCACCCCTCTACATATGTAATCTCAAAGTCCACATGGTGACAGCATTAGCAGTGTTGTAACAAGCAGCACAAAGACAAACGTTTCTGTATATTAATAATATTTATTTCAATATCCTCTACAGTTGCTTTAAATCTAAGCTGCTATTTAGCCTTGAATGGGAGTTAAAGCATTTTTTAAAAAATATATTATGCCAGTTGGAAACCACTGAAATTCCCTACTTCCTGTAAGTAAAAAGAGACTGACTGTATTCAGGATACACATATTAACAATAATTGGGCTATTAGATAAGCATGAGACATTGCAAAATCTGGAACAAATATCACACACAGTTATGTTGTGATGGGTATTTCCTGGCCAACATTGTTAGCATGACTAGCTTTCTCCTTGTGTAACAAAACATTTGAGAAAGGTAGATTGATCAGAACAACCACCACCACCTATCTTACTTTCAATATTCAATGGGAGGAATGTTAGCCTTCATGTGAAGTCTGTTTAGGCTGAAATCATGCATTCCATTTCAAATCTGAGCAGTTAATACTTATGCTAATCTGTCTGATTACATTCACATGAGCAAAGCAGTAGACAAGGTCTATAAGGATTACTCCAAATGATGTGTTTGACATCTTTCCTGTTCTCTCCCTACATTGTCTAAAAGATATTTCCCACAGTGAAAGTCATGTTCACTGAGGTTATATGAGAGTCTCACAGAGGGTTGCAGGGAGGATCCTCACGTCTAACTTAACCTTGCATATAGCTACTCAGATATGGGAGTACATTAGGTTCCCCAGATTCTCTGTGGATTGCACAATTTTGCAACAAGCTATAAAAGTTGGGAAGGGAGGAAACTCCAGATTTGGAATGCACTTGTATTTAACAGTATTTTCAAATGCCACACACAAATGCTGCTGTGGCCAGAATACACAAAGGTAAATTCATTTAGCTGCCTACTTTATTGGCATTTTTAAAGCAATGCTGTGATGCTGGTGACTATGACTACCAAGCACAGCTGTGTAATGCAAAAACAGCTGGTTCCTGCTTTAAAGTGGCTTGGAGTTTATTCAATTGTCTATCTAAAATACTACAGCAGTAGCAGACAGAGGGCATGATCCAGCAAAGATTTTAAGGTGCCTGGTTTGCCCTTTGGTTTTAGAGTGTGTTTAACTGACAACATACTGTGTACCAATATACTGTTAACAAAATCAAAAGATCTATATATAGACACTCAGATAAATTCCCAATTTGAGTTCACACTAGAATAGGTCCACTGAATCAGTGGGACTTCTATAAATGACTTAGTCCCTCTTCATTCAGCTCGTTTGTGCTTACTAGGACAAACACTTGCTTTTGGATCTCATCTTGCATATTTAATCAGTATAAAAAAGAATCCAGTGGAAATTCTTCATGCTTACTGGACTCTATGTATTTAAGGTAGGGCTGTGCAACATGCAGCTTTCCACATAATTGGACTGCAAATCCAGCAACCTCAGCCAGCAGAGTCAGTGGGGAAAGACAATGGGATTTGTAGTCTAACAACATCTGGGAGGCCAAATTTTTCCCTGATTTTAGAAAACCTTTTTAAATGGTTAGTCTTTCCTTGCTGTGTGTGTTTCAAGTGCACAACAGTACTGACAACTGTATTTTACACACTACTATTAAAGCTGAAATCCTATATAACACTACTGACTGAACCCAGTGGGACTAGTTGCTGAGTTGACATGCACAGGATTGTGTAATATGTATAGCATTTTAATGTGTTCCATGTGCTTCACATAAATTATTTTTTCAATGTCCAAAACCGTATTGTAAGATAAGCAAAGCCCTCTGTGTACAGCACTATCAGATTATGATGAATATTCAAAGGGCACTGCCACTTAATCCAAATACTCGTTCATTGACAAGTAATTTTACAGATCACCACTTTTTCCTACAGCTCCACTGGACTTACTATGATATGCCACCATGTCCATCATCTATAAAACAGAAAAAGAAATCTCACCCATTATGTGTTGATGCCTATGTCTCTCTGCTTACTGTGGCTACAAGTGAAGTTTTTTTTTCTCAGCTAAATAGTCCCTGAGGCAATTCTGACAACCTGGTGCCCTCCATAACTAGTGGACAGAGATGAGGGAAATTACAATCCAAAATACGCAGATTGCACCAAATTGGGAAAAGTTGATCTAAGGCCTCCCTTGTGAGTTACCAGTCCCTAATGAATAGCTAGTATCTGGTTTAAAGATTCAGAAGAAATGTGTGCCAGAGGGGGAATGAAAAGATGAATAGGCTGCTTTACCTCTTCTAGCAGAAATTATGAGGAAATCCAAATATTCCCATTGCTTGAGAAACTGGTTAATATTAAGACAAGATCCTCATCTCTGTCCAATCAAAGGAGTTCACATTCTGCAAGGACTCCACACAAATTGCTCTATTTTCTTGATTATTTAAATGCTTTTTGATTAAGGATTTATAGTTTTACCCATAAAACAGAAAAATAACTATCTTTTCACAACATGTTGGGGGGGGTCTGAATCACTATAGCAAGATTAACTGAGTTTAAGCATGTCTGGCTTTAAAGCCTTTTCAAAGATGAGTAAACAGAAGGAAGAACTTACAAAAGCATTCAGTTAAGACTGTGGCTGAGTTGTCAGCTGACTCTAAGACATCCTAAACTATCAATCTGACTTACTATACTAAATTCTGGGACAGGTTAAGTCCTCCTGTGCAACAGAATTAGTTGGTGGAGTTAACGTCAGAAGACAGATTGTACCACTTCAGAGTAGAGATACAGCCTCCCACTTTTTAATTCTCCCCCCCCCCGACTGAAAATAAAATACCCAAGGAAAAAAAATTAGAAGAGCAAAAAGAAATGTTCGAGCATTACCTTTTACCCGCAATTATGGCTTTCTCTTTTGCAGGGAGGTTTTATGTGGGGGAGACCACAGTTGGGGGATGGGCAGATGAAAAGGATTCCCTCTTGCAAATACGCACAAAACCTTATAGTCTGAAGTGGTATAGTTCATTCTGTAGAAGCACTAATGTCTAAGGGGTTTTTTGTCAAACCCAGCAGTAGTATTTGAGGAGTGGGCTACCGCTTTCTTCATTAAAAAAAAGATACTTCAAAACACTTAAGTAGCCAGATATTCAGCCACATTAATCTTAGTTCATAAATATAAAAAAGTGCCTGGGCATCTGTGTCTTGTTTTCTGAAGGAAGAGGGGGAAAGTGCCTCTGAAAAGACACTGTACTAGAACTTAGCAGGCACTGAAAAACAATGAGATGGGGGTAGGAATGGTCTTATAAAAGGTTACATATTACTTCACTGTAAAAGGAAAGGCAGCAGTGGTAGCAAGAGCCTTTAGATAATGATGCAGGCGTTAAAAGGTGATCCCCGTTTGCTACCACCTTGAGTGGGTACCAATTTTCCCTTTCCATAGTACCCAGAAAAGATGGCTCTCACCTCAATCTTCTTGGAAAGCAAAAGCATCCACATCCCATTCCCATAGGACAACAGCTTCCCACCCCCAATCTCCCCCACCTCCTCGCCTTTGTTCCCTGCTTTTTCCAGCTTGACAAATTCCAGAAGATCGATGCCAGTTTGGACAGCTTCTACCCCACTAGCACAGCCCAGGGTCACATGGGCCCGGCTGCCTTTGGGGAGATTAACAGCTGGCTGAAGCACATCCACGTCGTTTGGCCACAGAAGCATTTGCTGCTCGTTCAGTTCCACACGGGCCCCAGCAGTTCTTGGGGTGATGAAAAGGGCAGAGATGGTCAGGAAAAAGGCTTTTCCGTAAGAGGACTTCACAATCTGTGGGAGAAATTGTTTCTTTTAAGGTTGACCTGATATTGAAAATGCTGCTTTAGCTCAATAGAGCTTGTTCTGTCTTTGTTACACACAGTGAACTAAAATAACATCTGGGATAGTTACTTCAAACTGCCTCACAAATAAGTTCACACAAATTTACTAACCTATGTTCTAAAAAAGAGCAACCTGGTTATTGAACTAGTACTTGTAGTATTTTTGAAAATATTTCATCCTTATCCATAACAGTTTGGTGTATTTTATTGCAAAATAAAAGCAAATAATAGTTCCATAAAGTAAAATACATGATAATTATGTAAGAACAGTTAAGACATGAACTGATAAAGATACCTAAATTAAAATGCCAGGACAATAAAGTTTTGATGTGGTGCTGAGTAGACAACAGTGTCACTGCTGTTGAGATTGCTCTTCCTCCCCTCTCCTCCCAATAAGGCTCTCCGCCTTGTCATTATAAAATGCATACACCCACAATAAGAAAAGCCTCTTCTGAAGATCTTTAGACACCAGCAGGTTGACATAAAGAGTTCCTTCAAGCATTTGAGGAACCAAGAATTTTGGGGCAAACACTGGGAACTGGGAGACTGAAACCAAATGGGAACTAGCTCAATGTTTTGTCAATTTACAATACGATTTTATTTGGCTATAGCAGTCATAGTTCTAGCAAGTTGCCTTATGCATTGCCTAATGATTTCAGGAGGTATTTGAAAGCAGGCTAACATATATTGCATCACAGTATCCCAGTCTAAAGGTTACTAGAGCACTAATCCTTGGGACTGGGCTTCATATGACCAGGGACATAGAGATAGCTGGCAAACCATCTAAAGCTGGCAAACTGTACTCCTACCTACCAATGGCAACCAGGCCTAAGTGACCAAGTTTGACCATAGAGCACTGCCAAGCTACAGACCCCTTCTAGGGAGAGCACTACAGGTTGTCTGCCTTTTTGTCATTATGGCAGCCCTATGATGCAAACACCGAGACCCTTTTTGGCTGAAGTTAATGACAAAAATTCTTTAATTACACTAAACACTGACATGTAACAAGTTTCACTGCCTGGAGGAGACTTTGCCAAATCTGAAAGGTACCCATTAACAAGTCATTTACAAGAGGATCTTCCCCCTCACACCACATTTCACAGTGTATAGCAAGCTCCCCAACTCCTTCTGTAGCATTTTCAGAGGACTGAAAGGACTGGTATCAGCAAGGTGAGCAGGGAAGTCAATTTCAGCCATCTTAAATGCATGTACCTCAATTCTGATCTGACCCAGAATTTTATGGGGGAATTTTGCTCATTTAATGGGGTGGTGGTGGACATTTTGAATCTACGTATAATGGAGTCTTTTCCCATCTGAAAAAACAGGACAATATAGCTACACCTTCTATCCTGAAAGTTCATTCAAGAACTATCCTGTTACGGCCCAGAATGAAAGGATGAAAAGCTCTCACCTCTTGCTGTGCATAGTCTTCTGCTCCTGGGGCCTTTCCAAAGTCAGTAAACTTTGTTGTACAGTGCAAAACACCAGGTGGTCTTTTCACAAAGTAGCCAGTCAAGTCAATTTTCATTTTGGGGTCTTCACTAGATTGCCCAACTGCAAATAAATGGGAATAGAATAAGTCAAGGCAAATCAGTTTCACGGGGGTGGGGGGATCCTACACAATCTCTCCACCCTCAACTTCTCCTTTTCATGCAGAATTAGTTTTAAACTTTGATAAGAGCAGACACCAAGTCAATAAACAATTCTGTTCTTCTTTCAATGTGCACAGGCCTCCCTGTCAATAAGGGAATTCACAAATATCTATAGTGAATGCTGTTCTTTGTTCAACTTGTGTTTGGAAAATACGTAGCTATCATGTTATGCTAAATGTTAGAAATGCTGGTAAATCAAGTTCTAGAAAACAGACTTGCCTGGAGGCCTTGGATTTTAAGCATAATAGTTACCTCTTAATATCAAGATGCAACAGAGACACAAAGTTGGAGGGGCACCAACTCCAGCCAGTCCAGCTTTGATGAGTACTTTTGACCAGTCACAGATATTACAACAGGGATGGAGAATGTCTTGCCTCAACTGGTGCCTTCACCTCCTAGCCAACACAGGTCAACTCTAAGGGACAGTGGATGCTGAGGTCTTATCAACAGCTGGAGGGCCACACATTCCTTACCAGTTGCATTAGGAGATACCATGGCCCTGCAGCTGCTGCCAAAACCAGTACTTCTGTATTATCTTCCCTCACCTGCTGCCTTCTTGAGGTGTTGGGACTCCTGCCTTCCTCCAGCCAACACACCCTGAGGAGACCCGAGTTTGGGAATGCTGATGCAGAACAATAAACAACCATGAGAGCAGAGTGCTGCAAGTTTCCCCAGCCCTGCCTAGAGTCACAGCCTGCCACCTACAGGGGTGGAGAACCCACAGTGCAAAATAATCATATCACCCATTTTGAAGTGTTAGATATTTCTGTGCAGCAGAAAAGGAGATAACTCTGACACCAACCATTTGGCTCTTCTTATGTTTAGCTGCAGAGCTCAGAAATGTTACTTTTCTCGACTCCCAGAAAACACTATGTTTTTCAGGGGATTCTGGGAACTGTACTCCCTCCAAAAATATAATTTTTGGTGAGCTCTATCTAGTACTAAATATCCAATCTACCCTACCCCTTCAAATGCACACGAACACTGATTTCAGTCCTTTAGGACCAAGATGGAAAGCACAATTATTATATTTTCATGGCAAGAACTTAGTATAATTTTGAGTTTGCATTTTAAGCAATGTCCCCACAATGTTGGCAGGAACCTTATAACTTGCCAGTGTGGCCATAGCCACAGTTAGGGACGTGCTGATAAATGTTAAGAGTAACTTAGACCACTGGTTCTTAACCTTGAAGCAATGCCCCCACAATGTTGGCAGGAAGCTTATAACTTGCCAGTGTGGCCGTAGCCACGGTTAGGGATGTGTTGATAAATGTTAAGAGTAACTTAGACCAAACTAGATCGGATTTAGTTAGGGTTAATTTTTGTGCCAAAGGTATCTAGATAACCTCTCTAAGGTTTTAGCATCATGCCTGATGCTGGTGGACAAACAACAGAAAAATATACCTTTGGGGCAAGATTCCTATTCAAAAATATCCTGTGCATTTACAGAAGAAGAGTATTTTAGAATCCATGCAACCTGAATTTTCATTTGAAAAATAAAACCTAAAAGTAAGTTAAGACTCGCAAAGAGCCAAAACAGACACGGTTTGACATGTGAAAAAACAACAACAGAAAAACTGGTGTTTTTTTTTAGTACTGCTACAGGAGTTTTTCTCACTTTCCAGAGTTTGTAAATTAACTTGTTTTCTTGGTGGTTGGTCCAAGAATTAGATTCCTTTGAAGTCTGAGTGCTCAGGCATGAAAGAATGCTTAAACAACTATATATGTGTTCAGCTCTCACTGAGGTCAAAATTATGGATTTAGGGGCTATCTGTTTTTGTCCTAAGCAAGCCCAGTCCCTGCATGCTCCGGCACTTCCCCACTATTACATATATATAGAGAAGAAAATGTGTGACTCCTAAGATACTGCTGGAATGTAACCCTCAGGAGCCCTTGTCAATACAGCTCATGTCAAAAGACTGGAGTTGATATCTAATGCTTAGAGGGAATCATTTTCTCCATTTCTGCTACAGAGGGTGTAAATGTTTAGGGGGAAGGTTAAGGCTTATACAAGTCACAATTCACCCAAATTTTCACAGGATTTTCCAATAGTTTAATAGGTGTGTGGGCATATGTCAAGGTTACTGTACCCCTTGGCTAGATTCATATAATCCCTTTCCATGTGTGCAGTGCTCTGTTGTGTAAGTGGTAGGGATATTCAAAAGGTCACACAAAGATGTCTCTGTTATTTCCTTTCACAAATATAAGCCCCACCAAAAACACAGCAATGACTGACTTGTGAAACAATAAGCCAGAAAACTGTGGGCACAGCACTATATTTTGCCATTCACAACAGCATACTAAGGATGTGGACTTGAGCCGTGGCACTCACTGTCAAGTCAGACATAAATTGCACCAGTGATCTGACTCAGACTCAATTTGGATTTTTTTTTTCACCCAGTGACTCGGACTTGACTTGCAACACCCACCGAACCCTCCTTTTTTTTCTAGAGGAAAAAATTTATTTTTAATAGGGACTTGGAACTCCGGAGTTTGGATTTTTTAACCCCAATGATTCGGACTTGACTTGCAACACCCTCCTCTTTTTTTCTGGAGGAAAAAGCTTATTTTTAATAGGGACTTGGAACTCCGGACTTGGTACCAAAGACCTGGACCCAAATGCTTGACAACATCTCTTTTGAGTAACAGGAGCCTAATTCTGCACAAAAATACACAGATGGGAAAGCTACTCAACTTGCATAAATATATACAGGTTGCATTCTCTGTCTTTTCTTGGAGGGGAGATAATTAGCACAGAGTATAAAGTGTAAGTACTACTGTACTAGGAAATGCACAGAAGTATGGTTTTGGTAGGGTTTCTTTAAAAAATTAAGTTATGTTGGCAGCTTAGAAAAGGAAGCAGTTTTATATTAAGAGGTCCCTCTTGATACATGATGGCTGAAAGATTCTTTGAGTTACAGTCCCAAAAAGTAATGTTTTCTTCTTCTCAGCCACTTAGAATCACCATAATCATGGCCCTATTTATCTTCAATCAAAAGCCATGCTGCTTGGGAGAGTATGGGGCTAAGAGTCCCCAAAAGTAACTTCTCCATACTCTGTGAAAGACAACTGAAGCTTTTACTGTAGAAGGTATTGGTATAGGTGCTAATTTTCCCACTAACCTATATAGAGATAATATTTTTTTTTTAAAAAAATGGAATGCTTTTATTCTGCAAATGCACCGCAATCTGGTTCTTGGTCCACATAAAGTATCTATTGCCTATACACCTCTAGGTCAAAGAGCTAGCTTGAGACCTTCACCTTAAGCTTCTGAAAGCTCTTACCATATTTTCCCTCCAGCCACTCAGATCCTTCAGAACGATGTGTTTGAAAAATCAGACACACATATGGTGCCAGAAATCATCTAACAATGACTGAACACAAAATGAAGGCAATGTAATTTAAAATTGGGATAAACAGTAGTCTTCCAGCTTCTAAAGGAGCTCTGCTTTTAATGCTGTACCAACAATGTTTTCTAGTTCTGCTTTGAACTGGCAAATGAAAAAATATATTAAGAGAGATTACTGCCACATTTCAGTACAGCAAAGGCCAAAAAAAAAAAAAAATACAAATGAAAAAATATAATAAGAGAGATTACTGCCACATTTCAGTATAGCAAAGGCAAAAAAAAAAAACCCGGAGCTGGGGAAAACCCTTCTTCTTTGGGCCAGGGAACTACAACATCCTTATACTGGCTGAGGAATTTTGGGAAGCAAAATCTAAAGTGATTCACCCTAACTCTCCCAAAAAGGCAACCAAAGGTCAAAACTTTCAAGAAGAGACAGGTTGGGGATCCTGTCTTCTGTCAGAAGGGGGAGATATCCATGGCTTGGCAGAGGAGAAAGAAACTAGAGTGCAAGGAGCAGGTACTAGTCCATACACTATTTATGCATACTGGCAGCAAAGAACCAAGAGAAGGAGAACAATACATCTGCTTCACAGGACTATTTTATCTTATGGCAAAAGAAACACTTTGTAGGTTCATGAGTGTTCTGCATCAAAACCTACCTTAAAACAATCTGCAACAGGGTCAATAAATATCATTTTTTTAAAAAATCAAGTTGATCTAAATCACCATTTAAATCATAATTTGAATTTTAAAATGCTTTTTAAAAACGTTATATCATCAGAAAAATCATATTAAAAAAATTAAATTGTGTTTTAAATTATGATTTAAACCAAGTCCACCTGCTCTGCAATCAGAGTTATGCAGATTTAAAACATTAGTCTCGTTTTCATTCAGTGTAATGCATTCGGTGGCGGTGTAATGCATTCTGTTTTCACCACTAAACATTTCTAATTATTGAGGCCATTTCTATAAGGCATTGTATGGCACAAAGATAAAAGTCACCATGAGAAACAGAAACTTAGTTGGTGCCTTCTAAAGGGGTGGGGTGGTTAGGTTTTGTTGCACAAGCATAGAATATGGAATCTTCAGAAGATAAACAAAGAATCCCATTAAGCATAAACATGTTGGGAGCTCGGCAGTCATGCCCTTCTAGTGCTCACCAGCAGCAGGCCAACTCTCATAGGTTAGTAGAAGGCAGGTTTTAAACAGATAAGACTAAAAGCTCTTAAGGGACCCACAATGCTTATTGGCTTCCTTCTTGAAGACTTTAAAACTAGCAAGCTCATCCAAAAATGCCTGCCCGGTTTTACGCAAGTTCTCTGAGCTCCGTTTGCTCAAAAACCATCCAAAGTACAAGGGAGGGAAGTCTTTTTCTAAGCTGGGCTTCAGCTTCTTGACTTCATCCACTGAAAGTTTCCACTGATTTTTATCCTTGAGTTGCAAGCAATCCAGTTTCCACGAGGTTTTGGGCTCCACGATGATGACCTGGTAACGGTACTTATCCGCAATATCAAAGAGCTGCTCCAATCGCTCTCGTTCATGGTGGGTGTCGTCCACTACCAGCACACTGATGTCACGCTTGCAATAGTCACCTAGATCCTCATCTACCTTGCTGTATTCATCGGGAATGGCACTCCTGATGGCTGGCTGGATTTTGTAGTTGTCAGCAGAGATAATTTTGCAAGCATCTTTATACTTGTCGTGGATAGCGTGTGCCAAAGTGGACTTTCCACTGCCTGGCAGGCCTCGGAGAATGAAAAATGTTTTCGATTCCCGTATGGTAGCAATTGTTTCGTCGTCATCCAAGAAGGGGAACTGCAAACTCTCAGGGCGCTCTTTGGGCTGGGAGGACATTTTCCTAAATATCTTGGGCAGGAACGCGTGGCTCTTCCGGCCAAAGCCTTTGTTCTGGAAATCAGGAGTAGGGAGGAGATGGGAGGAAAGAAAGGAATATACAGTAGTTTTATTAGAACATTCCAGAGATATTTACCATCTTTTGGCCCTGAATAATAGACCACTGTTTTCAATCCAAACTGGAGAGGGATTTTTTGTTTGTTTGTTTTTTTGTTATTGCTGCTGCTGCTGGCTTTTCAGATGGACACAAATGGCCCAGTGATGGCTTTAAATGACGCTATTATATCAAATGAGAATTCCAGAAGCAGCACCATGTCTGTTTGTTGTATAAAAAATTCTACAGCAGCCTTCCACAAGCTAGACCAATTCATCCTGATGTACTTCACCACACCCCACATCACCCTTGAAACCTGTAGTCTAGTCTTTCCAGAGGTCACCAGGTTGGAGAAGGTCCTTAGGCTTAAAGATGATTTACTGAGACCTGTTTATCATTTGTTATTGTTTAGTCATTTATTTTATTTTATTTTATTTATACCCCGCCTATCTGGTCGGTGAGGACCACTCTAGGCGGCTAACAACAGTAAAAGGATACAATAACAATATAATTGTTGTGTCAATTAAATTGTTGTGTCAATTAAATGTCATTAAGTTGTGTCTGACTCTTCATGACCCCATGGACCAGAGTACACCAGGCCCTCCTGTCTTATCATAGTTTATCATACCCCTATCCTTTTACAGGAAGTGTGTTTAGTCTCCAAAGTATTTATGAGGGCTAGTGTTATGTTATGCAGGATAAATTTCTGTTTAGTGGTCCCTGTTCAGTCTTTACTAACCTTCCTTAAATCTAGCCTTCCAAATATGCTGGACTAAAATTTTCATTATCCTCATACTGTATATCTATTTTAATCTGAACTACAGTATTTAGCCTGAACAAACTTTTCAGTCTATGATGAGATCAGCTAGTCAAAATCCCTTTTAGCCTGAACAAACTTTTCAATCTATGATGAGATCAGCTAGTCAAAATCCCCCCTTCTGCACAAGAATTGAAAGCTGAAGAAGCCTCATCTCTTTTTTTGCTTTCAGTCAACAAAAAGATGCACCCAAAGAATACTTTCTATGAAAAACAGCAACAAATGAAATAAGTCTTCTCAGATGTGCCGACCCTTGGAGATGGAAAGCACAGAGCTTAAGAGGTGATGCAGGAGGAGCCCGTAAGGAGAGACTGAAAATGATGCATGCATCTTAAATTATTATAAGTTGGATCTTGAGATTGCAGTGGCTTCAGCAGAGTCTATAATGGGATTTGGCTGCAACCTAAGACAAAAACAAAAAACATCACTCCCAGTCCTTGACTCCCACAGCTTGATGCGCACCAGATGTGATAACATTGCAACCATATCATTTTCAAGCAAAACAGTTAACAGCCACACTGCTGGGGATAAAGAGTTCTAGTCCAACACCAGGATGACTGGTTCCTGTCACCTTGAAGACCAACACATTTCTTAAGCATAAACCTGAGAAGCACCATTTCTATTAGCACATTAGAGATAGCTGGGCACACTGCTTGTTGGCACTGAGCTGCACAGACTGCACCTACAGACCAGAATTCTGTATGCTCCTGGGGAAAAATGAGATCCATCTTTATACAGTACTTCAGTTGCATGGTACAGTGAAGATGCTGCTTGTGTTTGGCCAAGACAAGAGAATCTGAGTGTTATGGCACTATTTGACAAAAACAGCTGCTTGGAGAACAGAAGTTAACAATGGCTTTTTAAAAAAAGAAAGAAAAGAGAAAACAAAACAATAATAAGAGGGTAGACACTGTGAGCTTCAATTGTTTTGCAATGAAACTGAAATAATACATGCTTGTGTTAAAATGGGTGGGAGGAGACATGGACAATGGTACCACACAAGCCTGTCTTAAGAGGAGAACTTGGATTATTTTCCAGTGGAACAATTTGTCCCATTCTGTGCAAAATAGGTCCTCTCCTCCCCTTCCCCCTCTCTATTTAAAAAAAAAAAAGCTATCAGGATGGAACAGATAACAAGGCAGGCACTGCAATTTCACTCAGCACCCCCCTCTCCCATTAAAAAATCTTGTTATAGACTGCAGATACCACCATAACTTATGAGGCTGAAAACATACTTCTTAAAGAAACAAAGGGATGTATTACAATGCTCAATAAAACCAGATCAGCAAATCACAGATATTAAGCCACTCATTGCTTTCCACAAAATTCCCACATGAAAAACCACTTGTATTCGGAAACATCATTTAGAATTTTTTAAACTACAGTATATTAAATTTTTAAAATAGCTCTTTAACAACTATACTCAAAAGCTGCATGCAGCAGCCTTGGACTGAAGGGCTCCATAGCCCTTGGCAGCCAAGAAATGCATGCAGGACAGTGTATGGAATTCAGTGCAGGCAAGTGAGGGGGCTGGTATGCTCCAGTCCTCCTCTGCACCCAACATAGAAAGCAAACAGACTGCTACAGACATACATTTCTGTCCCTCCTCTGCTAGTTTCGAACAAGTTAGTAAAAATGTTTTACAGATGAATAAGTTAGGGGTGAGGGTAGGGTCTTGTTTACATGGCTAGTAGACACAGTCATGTAACACATATTACAATGTATACATCCATTAAGGCAGCTTCTTCAAATTAATCTGAGTTAACTGCCAGATAATAAAGATGCAAGCACCAGAGAATTCTCTGCATCTGAGGTTCCCAACCTTAGGTCCCCAGATGATGTTGGACTACAGCTCCCAGCCACCTTGAAGCTAGTCCAACATCTGGATTCAGTAATCCACTGAAGGTTCTGCAGCACAAGTTAAAGAATGCTTACAAACCATATATAGATCACAGGAACTTGCAAAATAACCTTGTAACAGTGGGACTGTAAAGATACAGCAAAACAAAGAAAAGGGTACAATAAGCTGAATAGATCTAATGCTCCTGGGAGAAAAATCAGCCATAAAAATACTTTTGGATTTTTTACTCTAAATCTAACCAAACTGTGAAAATACAAATGGCACTTCTTTTCAATTAAAAGTTGAGCATACATGCATTTTCATTAATTATTACATGTTTATTTTCCACATGGCCAGCTACAGATTGACTGGTGTTCATGTCTCACCTATGGCTTGATGCCTTTTGAAGGCAACACAATTTGAATTTCCAATAGCGGCATTTAACTTTTAAGAGGAAAGTTTTCCTCTAAATCAGTGCTTCCCAACCTTGGGTCCCCAGATGTTCTTGGACTACAACTCCCATAAATCCTATCCAGCAAAGCTAGTGGTGAAGGCTTCTGAGAATTTTAGTGCAAGAATATCTGGAGATCCAAGGTTGAGAATCACTGCTCTTAATAGCTGCAGAATTACAACTCTGATATTTCATGATGAACTTTATCCCAGTCTTGGAAGTACGTTCACAAAAGCTACTAGTCCTCAAAATTTTTATAGTTTGCCAGTTCATACACATTATTCCTTTTACCATTTGAGACTTAAAAAAACTAATCTACCTTTTATAAAGCCTTTTTTATTGCCTCCCAGAGTAGACCTTTGGTCTAGATGGGTGGGGTAGAAATCTAATAAAATAAATAAATACTGTACATAAAAATTCTTACCTGATCACCTCAAAATGTTTCTTGCTTACACTGTATTTATTCATAACCTTAATTTATTTTCCTGGATTAAGTAATATGAGTGAGCCGATAGCCTGCCTTTCAAGTTTTATATTTATATGAAGTTTATCATATTGATAATTAGCATGTTCAAAATGGCTGGTGGATTTTATCTTTTGAGAAAGAGTTGGAGAAGCCATATCTATGATATAAAGAGCAATTTAAATTTAATTTATTCCATGTAATTTGCATTTGGAATGCTGGCTCTGCTTGGGGTCCTCAATTTAAGATGGTGGACAGAGACTGAACTTCATAATTAAACATTCAGTGGTGATGATAAAAAACTCAATTTGATGTTGTTGTTTTTTGGTCTGTTTTGTTTTCACGCTGAAATACTGAATTCTGACAAACAGAACTCCAGGCATAATAGGTAAATAAATGTATATGTAAAACTGAAAGTAGCCAAAGTGTATATTAGTATGTGTACATGGCTGCAGTGCACTTGTATCCCCTACCTCCCAATTCATAATTATGGGAATTTTGTTGTTTGAAAAAAAGTTATACTTCTGGTACCAATATTGCTTCTCAGCCTGAAGAAGTTCCACCAGAATCCATGATAATTCTGACCAAATAATTAAACCTACTAATTTCACTAACTTTCTTGGGAGGGGGAACTTTCTTGGAGCCCATGCATTTGCTTGAGGTGCTTTTCTCTTCCATACATATTAACATTTATTAGACTCCATCCTTCAGTGTTATTTTGGAGCCACCATGTATTTTATACATTATATAGTACTTTATTATTCTCCTTATATTTAAAAAACAAACAAATGATACTGATAAAGGATCAAATTTCTTCCATTTTTGTTGTTGATTGCATAGAGAAAAGAGTAGTAAGAAGATGTTGTATATTTCTCCAAGACAGAGGCTAGTAGGGTTTGACCAAGAAGGGAAAATATACAGTATTCTCTTGACTAGACCATGCCAGGAGATTCCGTGGCATGAAGTAATTTTGAGAATAAAGTACTGTATATTCAAGCTCTTACTAATGGGATTCAAGTCCCCTGCCTTCCCCACCTCAAGTGTCTGCATAGGGAAGGGGCATGATGGCTCTGGCATAGTTGGCTTTAAATATTAGCACGTTAGAGGAACAATCTGAGAGTAACCCATAACAGTGAAAAACAACATCTGTAAGATACCACAAGATATCTTAGTAATAGGTGTTTCTGTGATGCGCTGTATAGTCACATTCTTTGTGATCGGCTCAGTCACTCCCAATATTTATCAGTTCTATGTATATCCCACTTCTCTTCCAGCAGGGCTCAGGCCAGCATATGCAGTTCTCCTCCTCTTCACAACAGAACCTCTAAGAAAGGTTTTCCTGAAAGGGAATAACTAGCTGAAGGCTACTGAAAAAGCTTCACGGCTCACTGGAACTGCTACACAGCACTGGCTTTGTCTCAAGAAAGAGACACTGTTAAGAGAAAACTGTCTGTTGTATGTCTACACAAGTCTCTGCTGTGTCTTTTTTTATTATTCCATTCCCTTCGCAATGGAACAGATAATTTGGCCCCAACTCTGCAGTATATATGATTGAAGCAGTCAATGACTCTAATACAGAGATACCAAAAAAAGACTAAAAATATCACATGGGGCTAAAGGTAAAGGTAAAGGTTCCCCTTGAGAATTTTTGTCCAGTCGTGTTCGACTCTAGGGGGTGGTGCTCATCCCCGTTTCCAAGCCATAGAGCCAGCGTTTTGTCCAAAGACAATCTTCCGTGGTCACATGGCCAGTGCGACTTAGACATGGAACGCTGTTACCTTCCCACCGAGGTGGTCCCTATTTATCTACTTGCATTTGCATGCTTTCGAACCACTAGGTTGGAGGGAGCTGGGACAAGCGACGGGCGCTCACTCCGTCGCGTGGATTCGATCTTACGACTGCTTGGTCTTCTGACCCTGCAGCATAGGCTTCTGCGGTTTAGCCCGCAGCGCCACCACGTCCCTTCACATGGGGCTACCTGTTGCATTTTGATGGAAATCAGTGCCTTACACCTCTTAATTCTTTCCCTAAGAAGACACATTCAGAACAATTACACAAAAAGAAAAAGCTTCTGCTGCTCCCAAGGTAAGTAATCTTAAATCTTTCTACATCCAAGGTAAATATCTAGGGTATATACACATATTAAATTAAATCCATCCTTTTCAGGTAAATTAAGAAAGAAAGTGCACTGCCACTATCCTTTTGGTTTGAAGGAAAAGATAGAATCCTGAACTTTAGAGCCACATATATAGGGTTGTTCTTGCTTCCTGCTTCAATAAAGGTGCAAGACCCTTCTCCCCCTTGTGCATGCCTGAAATAGGAGTAGAACATTTATACCCACAAGTCACTGAAAAGAGAGATCTGGGAGGGGATGTTCTTAATCATCTGCAATGATTCACTGGTCCTTGCCTCCAATTATTTTTAAACTTTGTAAAAATAATGTGGCCTTCGAGATGCTTTCAGACCATGAAGTTCAGAGATATATTTGCAATCTGTTCCAACCACCCTCTCTCTCAGCTGCATGTTGTGGTTCAAGACAGAATAGAAAAACAAAGATTACTAGCAAACCTAAATATAAATCAAATGCTATTGCAGCCCTACAGGGATAAGTACAATGGGAGCGGAATGCCTAAGCAAGTTGTCTGTCTAACGGGTTCGTCAGAGGATAGCATGTGCATTTTGGTTCCTTGTAATGCTTCTCCCAAGAACACAAAAGAAACTAGACAAGATTATCTCTCTAAAGATAATCTTGCTATGGAAGTGGACTTGCCCACAAAATCTCACATTAAAATGTGGCAATTAGTTTTTAAGGTGTCATCTTTGTTTTTATTTAGGTTTTGCCTGATGCGTCAGCACAGACAAACATAGATACCTTTTCTAAAAATGTATAAAGATGATTTTTCTAAAGGCATCCCACACACCCCTTTCCCCCCACTGGGTTCTATAGAAGTAGGGAGGAAATTATGTCCTCTACCTATTGCATGCCAAACATGGTCCATAAACATTCAGTACTTGGCAAGACTGCAAGAAATTTAAGCTCTGTATCTGAGAGAGAAAAGTATGGGAAGTATGGGGTGGGGAAAGTTGGCTTCCCCATCATACAAAGAACCCAGAACAGTTACTTCCTATCTAGTAGATACTGCCAACCTATGCTGCAAGGAAAAAAAGGGTGTAATGAAAAAAAAAATCCTGAGTACTATAAAGCCTGTACATACAGGCTTCAGAAAGTATCTGTACTTTGACCATCATTCATATTGTCATTTCCAGCTAAGCAATGTGAATTTCCACATTTGTTTTTACTTCTCAAAATTGGATGCAATTTCCCCTAAAAAAAAAACCTAAATATTTTGTTCTGGTGCATGGCTTGGTTAGTGTCATCCGTTATTTATGTTTAAACAAATCTACCGTGCAACTGGGGGAAACAAAACTCTAAATGTAGAGTTCTTCCAACTGTGAAGCAACGGTTTATGACTCCAAAAAACTGCATGAATAAGTATCTGTTTTGTCTGACAAGCTTAAACAGGTGTGTTTTGAGTTTCAGTGAGTCTGGCGTTCTCCTTGGGAAGAATTTCATGAAACCTGTATACATGTTATTCCTAACATTAGTCTATGGGTTGTGAGCACACAGCAAAATAGATCACCTCGTCTACCCCATTTGGGGCTGCCTTCTCCTACAGGACTTCCCTTGACAGGGGCTTCTCCCCCCCCCACTCTCGTCTGTCGAGTCAGCAGGTTTAAAGGCGGCACGACCCTCTGCTAAGCAAGAGCAGTGAAAGGCAGGCGACAGTTCCCCGTGAAGTTCCCCACTCCTGACATAAATTCCCGCCAAAAGAGAAGAGTTTTATGATCCCCCGTCAAGGCAGGCACCCCTGCCCCGGGCTCCCAATGGAGCAGGCATGCAACGGGGGGGGGCACTCACCATGGCAGCGCCACCGGGCGGAGGGAGGCGCAGAAGCAGCAAGAATCGACGCCTCTGAGGGGAAGAAGACCACCGAAGGGGCTCGTTGGCGTTTTGGAGGGAGGGCGCCTCCTCGCACCCCCTTTTCATACGCCCGGAGGCAGGGGCGAAGAAGAGGAGAAGCCACGCCTCCGGGGGTGTGTGTCCCTGCCTGGTACGGCGGAGAAGAGAAAGGGAAAGCAAACGGAAACAAAAGCGCCGCTCGGGTGCCCCCCAAAGGCTGCAAGCCGTAGCGTGTGCCCATGGGCCACAGGAGCCGTCCCAGCTGTTCGGTTTGCCAATACAGTAATTCGGTATTCTGGAGTTGGGAGAAAGCGGTCCTTCAGATAGCAAATGTTGTGAGTTGCCAGGAAAGCGGCCAAAATCAACAAGGGGGGTGGGAGCCATCTTGTCCTTGTACACCTAGGTCTTTATCAGGCTGGTCACCCAATTGGGGGGGGGGGTGGTACAAAGGAAAAAGGAAAATTA